CAGTCGTCCATAGAAGGATGAAGCGTACAGATTTAGATGATAACGGTGGAATATGATAAACGGTTCTGAACGCTCGACTTATGTCCACTTGGTGATTACTATCTATCAGGTGTTGGCACATCGCGCATCAAAATGAATGTTTTCTACATATTGATAATAAATAAAACTGCTTTCATGATAATCGTCAGCCTTCAGTATCGCCCCATGTTAAATATTAGGGTATAATGTCGTACAACCAATTAAGTTCTGGAACCTAAATTATGCGTACGCATTTCCTGCTAGTTCCACACACAGCCCTGAAGACATCTTGCAAGTGAATTGTAGTGCGCTACAGCACTCCGTGCTGACAGTATTATGTGGCCTGTCACCTGTTAGCTGCAAGACACACTGTGTCACGTATTCAATACTCGTGATCTACCGCCAAGGCCGGGCGCTCGATACACGAATGGTAACACCACCAGTCACCTCTGCTCTCCTGGGAATTCCCGAGGGTGTTTATGGTCAATCTGCAAACAAATTAACATGAGCCAAAGGTGCAGTGTGACATGCACACGATTCCAAATCAAATCAAAATAGCCGCGCTATGGCTGCGCCATATGTAGTGTCCTGATAAATTTCCACCAAATGTTTGGTTAAGCTCAAAGAGAAAATTAGAAAAGGATTGGATCACCTTGCGGTACATTCGTGCGTGGTTTGAATTTCCACAATGCATGATTTCGGTTACGCTTTTTGTCCAGTACTAGTGAAATATCAATAGATGTTTCATTCTAATCAAAGTTTTAGTAGTTTTCGGTGAATACCGGTTTCAGTAGTGATATTTCAAACATTATACTGCGCATTTTGCTGAGTGCACTTCAGTAGCTCGCAGGCCTAAAGTATCTTTTCCGAGTTTGGTCAATTGTGTTATCACGTATAAGTATTACTTTGTCTTGATGTTGTCTTTGTGCACCAAGAATAACCAGTGGTCCGCTGGATTGTCTGCATATGTGACCTGTCGCCATTGGTGCACTTTGGTCTCTTCGTGCGCTAACGTCAATTGAAAACGAAGGTGCTGAACCTAGTACTGACATAGTTCACTTAGTGTATCACAATGGCGGAGTCGTTCCAGAATGTGACGCGTTCTTCAAATATCCTGAAACACTGGCGCAGTTGCTTTGTTATACGTGCAGCTAGCACTGTCGCGGCCAGTTCGAGGCGGGGTATCGATACGCACTTCCATGGGGTAACCCGCGCCTCGGCAAATATTAATTCTGTCTTGCGCTCACCGTTCGCGTGCAGCCAGTATACGTAGGTTACTGCCCCGTACCCCGTTTCGGACGCATCGGAGGATAAGTGCAGTTCAGCCTTCGTCGCTTCACCGGTTCAGCTGAGGTGGTGCGGGATCCGTATCTCACCTAGTCTGGCCAGGCTTGTTAACCTTAATTCCCAATCTGCCCGGTCTTGTTCGTCCAAGAGTTGATCCCACTTGGCCCTTTTTCTACATAGCTGTTGTAGGCGGATCTTCCCCATTAAGAGCCGCGGTGCGACGAATCCAACTAGGTCGTATAGACTATAGACCGACAATGGCAGCCCTCGCCAGCTGGGGCTCATCTCGCGTAGCCGAAGTTGGAAGATGAACTCGTCTGACTTAGCCCCATCGTACCCCCAAGGTCGGCTCAATAGGAAGTAGCCGTGTGGTCAGGTTGAGAGCAGCATTTGCTCGCAACCGAGCTAAAGGACTAATCAAATCCATCTGTAACACCAGTCAATAATGGGGATACGTAACCACTGCATAGCTCTTGCCGGGGTATTGAAGAGTATTCTGAAGGCAGCCGTGGTGCCCAAGTGTGAAGACAATGGAGAAAAATCAGATGAACGTCATACTTTCAGGCCATTCACAAACAAATGTTCTGCAGTTAAAACAATGGGAAACCAATGCCTACCGGGCAAACCAAAAGCTAAGAAGCCCTTGATGGCTAAAAAGCCGGGGGTGCAGCCCAAACACCAAAGGTGTTATGTATAATTGAGCAGTTGGAGAGAGGAACTGAAAAAATGAAGTAGTGGAGTTGCTCATGGGAGGAATTCGATATTGCCCCTGTATAGCTGTGCAGAGCCAGTTACAAAAATTGCGAATGAAGCAAGAAGCTGATCTTCGTCAAGCGCAAATCGTTTTTCGGTAAATAGGGCTGCCACCAAACGCCCCAATATACCAAGTGCCATAAAATCGGACTTTGGATGGGGAATAGCTCACGGGAACCAAGGCCTATTCTAGTATTGTTTTCAAATACGAATATAAGAGATCTATCATTATCCAAATTCTCTATGATAGAGGATTTTACTCAGGGGTACACAATCGTCACCCCCCTATATTCCCATTCGCAAAACTCACTCAGTTATTTGTAGAAGAGTTTGTCCTACCGTCAAAAACGCCAAAACGTTGTAATTTGTGTGCCCAGGGTTGAGGTGCTCATGAGTAACTTCACACAAAAGGTAATAAGGATGTACGTCCAGGACCACAGGTAAGTAATGGGCTGCAAAAGTGGACTTTTGGGAACTGGGCCGACGCTCGCAAGGAACATTCTAGCCCTCTGCGCCGCACTTTAAATCCAGCTAGCAAACAGGATGAAGCAACACCAATTGAGACGTTAGTTACGGATTGCAGTGCACTAAAAATGGCCTCAGTAAGTCGTGAGGAACCAAAAACAATAGTTACAATAGTTTAGAAAGCCCAGTTTCCCGACTGCAAAAGAAACTAGCCACTTCAATAACAAATAAGGGAGGAAGTATGGGGATTGAGGAGGCTTTCGGAATGACGATAAAAGTCATTTCTACAGCAAAAAATGGAAAGACTCATGAATTGGAGGAAACCAGGAACACAGCCGTACAGCGGCAAAAAACGGGGTATCACCTCGGACAGTACGCATGAGAATCCTCCCGAAATGAGTTTCCGCCCCTGGGGGTATGCTTAACCAGACACAGTCACACTGTGGTTTATCAAGCTTAAGGGAACAGTGGGGAGAGACCAGAAGGCGCACCCAAGGCATAGACAGTTGCCATGACTGATTCATGGATGTGGTGGAACCGAACCATCTCAGGGATAGATGACTACACAATTTATAGGCAGGATAGGATTGATGGCAAGCATGAAGGAGGAGTTCCGCTGATGATGGAGTCAGATCACAGGCGGTGGTAGGCAAAGACAGCCCTAGTAACTCCCAACATACAAGCCATCAGTTGTATAGTAAAAATAGACACAAATACATGAGGGGTTGTGTTCATCTACCGTGCTTCGCCGGCGAATGCGGCAAACGATCAGGAGCTGATCGCTTAAATGCGATTATTCCCACCTACTTTGAGAAGAACTTAAACATGCCAGTGATAAGCTGTAATAGAGACCGGGTACCATCCGGCACCGGTGGAAGACTGTTACTAGAGTTACTCCATCAGCATGTGACAAGCCACCCGGTTTAGAGCGAATGGCAGGCCTTCCATACTGGATCCAGTGATCACGAGAACCCCGATAGACATCAATTCTATAACTCTGGAGGAGCTTCTGGGGAAAAGTGATCATGTGGTGCTGCGGCTGACGCCAGAAATTAGGCACAACAAACCAGAGGCCCTACTGGTCAAGCTTTATAGAAGCATCAATCGTGATGAGCTAACCAGATAGGCACAGAATATTAGCTGGATACCCAACTAAGCGTATACTACTTTGGAAACCAGATGGCGCCCTATCAAGGGAGAATTAATCCAACTTATGGACCTGGTGGTTCCCCTGGTTGCATTCAGAAAGGAACAGTGCCCTTCATGGTAGAAGCCATATATATAGATGGGTCTTTAGCCACTGGCAGACAACTGTCAGCCCACAGACTGTATAGCGTCCACCATTCGTAAAATAGCCATAAACGGGCGCAAAACCATGCTAGGATTCAAAGGGAAGCTAAGTACACAATTTGAGAGGAACTTGGCGAAAAAGTGAAACAAAACCTTAAGTGCTTTTACGCAAATGTCCAAGACGTGGATAGGGCACTTATCCTGTTGCAGTCCCTCAAAAGCACGTACAGGATCCCAGGACGACATATAGCCACCCAACAATAGGAGGTTAATGCAGAGTGCAACCAATAATTGTCTAATGTTTAGATGTTCAGCGTGAGCTAAAAGCGCTCAACAGATTCAAAGCAGTGGGATCAGACAGAATACACACAAAGGTCGTCCATCCGCTGTCAGAGGTTATGATGGGTTCGAAATTGGAGCTCTTGAACATTCGCGTTTGTCAAACTTTATTCCGGTATGACTGGCGCAAAGCCACAGTAGTGACGATATATAAGTATGTTTCTCTGCAAAACGCCGGAAATTAAAAACCAGTATACTAAACGTCTTTAATATGTAAATGCTTAGAGGCAAGTAAGTCAACACATGATAAATAGCAGACTGCTAAAACTATCCCAACATGGACTTGTTGAAAAGAGGTCTTTTCTGACAAACATGCTGGCNTATCTAGACTTTCAGAAAGCAATCGTCTCTATCAGCCACCATCTGTTACAAATTTAGATGCAGGTGTTCGGGAATAGTTGGACAAGTGAGGAGCTGGATAATGAGCTTTCTACCACTGCGGACGTTAGAGCTAACACCTCCAAGGAGGACGTAGTCACAAGCGGAATATCTCAAGGATTGGACTACTGCTGCTCCTGCTCTACATGAATGATCTGTCACGGAATCTCTAAAATTCCTGTTTTCTGTTCGCAGATGACGTTACGATAGCTGGGTGGCATATATCAAGAGATGTAGGAGTAATCAAAAGATGGGCCAAACAGTGGGACCTACCACCGACCGTCTCGAAATGTCAGCTACTGATGAACTGGACTGACAAAGAGCTATGAAAGAGCAAAGGATCTAGTAATAGTGGTAACGCGGGACTTGAAAACAAGTGCTTAGTGTGTGAAGGCCGCAAAAAAAGCTATTGGACAACTGATTCGTCTATGCGTGACCATGAAGTGCAGAAAAAAAGGCGTTCGTCCTAGTATATCGCTCCAGTGTATCGTTCACCTGCATTTGGAATACTGTGTGCAGGCTTGGGCTTTGTTTCATTAGAAGGAGACCGACCTCCAAGCGAGCGTTCAACATTCAGGCACAAGGATGGTAGCTGTGCCACAAACAAAAATCCCTAGTAGTGTGACATCCCAAGTATGATCTAAAAACGACCGATTCCTTAAATTCATTTCACCAAAACTATGTTGCATTAAGCTGAAATTGAACAGGATTTTGATTTCGAATGATTTTCTGTGGTTTTAAAAATTAAGTTTATTTTATTTCACCTGAATTGCCTTTGAAAAGGTTTAAACACTGTAACACAATGTTGACGTTCACCTTCAGGCTCACACGAACTACCTCGCACGCTGACGATGTGTAGTAACATTATTTTCACTTTCCAACATCAATCCCCTGAATCATGTAAAGACCCTATTTCCTATTATTGCCTCCCGTTTCGAGAACACATATGACCTCAAACTTGACACAATTTCCGGTGAGTTGTATCGTGCGCTTTGCCCTCTGTACACTCTCCACTGCAGGTCACATAAAAAGCTACAAACGCTAGTACCCGACTTCCTTCTCAATCCGTACCAAATTTGGGAAATGTTCGACTTAGCGTGGTATATTGGTGAGCCCGAGTTTATTTACTCCGTTTGTTTTTCGCATGCCACGGGATGCAAGTTTGCAGTGAGTCTGGGGCCCCACACACAACAATTTTTTTTATTTTTCGTATCCAGTATATACCGGTATTATGTATTTCATTTTATTTTAAACGGTGTTAATGTATTTATAACCCTTTCTCCGTTAAACTAATTTTTGCTTACGAATTCCTACGTATTCTGGTATTTGCATTTCGTAGGTATTTATAGAGCTAGACACTTGTTTTACTCATTCGATTGTACTGCACCAGTACCCTGATTTCCACTGTTATTCGGGCACCTTCCTCTCAATTTGACTATTCATTTTTTTTTCAATTCACACCTGTGTTAATTTGCTCAACCAACATTCCGAGAATAGCGCTATAGCGGCAACAGACGAAACGAGCGTATTGGACCTGCAAGCCCGTTTACCTGAATTCATGACGGAAGACTCCGATTACTGGCTGGCCCAGGTTGAGGCACTGTTTAAGCTAGCTATTGTAACTAATCAGCTAGCGAAGTTCACACAGCTCGTAAATCAACTCTCGAGGTCTATGGCCCCGGGTTTGCGCGACATTGTGTGTAATCCACCACCGGACCGACCGTACGATGCCCTCTACGATACGATTTTGGGCAGATTCGCTATGCCAGTAGAATGCCGCCCCAAACAATTGCTAGGTGGCCTGCGTCTGGGAGACAACGGCCTCATTACCCCAACAAAATTTCTGAATTCTATGCAGGGCCAGGCCGCTAGTCTGAACGTCGACGAGAATATACTCCGCTTGTCTTGGTTGCAAGCTCTACCAAAACGTTTGTCTTCTATATTGCAGTATTTTGACCAACGGTGTACGCTTACGGAACTCTCCAGGGTGGTCGACAGGGTATACGCCGACCAGCTGTCGGTCCAGTCCTTCACACAGTCAGCTCCGCCGCTGCACTCCGCTGACAACACNTTGCACAGGTGCACG